CGAGCTTATGGAGATCATCAATGGTTTGATTATAAGACGACTGCTTTTCTCGAATTATTTTATCATTGTTTTGTTTCTGTAAAAGTTCGGTGATATTATGTTGCAAATTCCATCGGATCTCGGTGAGTCGCGCCGCTTCGGCGCTAACAACTTGGGCCATAGTATTGGGTCTTTGGATAGTACCGAGTGTATCTATATTGCTTTAGGGTATAATATCTTGAATAGGCGGTATTGGGGTTGCGTTGGAATCGTGGTTGAGGAGTAACGCTGGGTGGCATAGCCTTACCACCAGTACCTGAAGGCACCGATATATTTCGACCATACGCTTTGATTATATCATATATTCTATCCAGACTATGATATCACCTATCATCTCTGAACCGACCGCAGTTCCCACTGAATGGTGAGGAGGTCGATGGTCACTTGGCCATTTCCGCATTCTCACACTTGAACTCACTCATATCATGAGGATATCCGCAAATATCTATGCTGACCTGACGCCATATGGCAGATAAACCTTGTCAGGTTGTAACCACAAGGACCAGCTCTTTCTCAAACTCAAACTTGACCTGGATTAAGAACCCATACCAATTTACCCAACAATAGCACTCTTAGAATATCATCAAATTTACAAGCGGGATGAAATTAGACATCTAGGATTGAATGTGGCCCAAAACTGATATTCATAGACCGGAGTTGACACCTTCCATTTTATTCTATCACAGAAACTGTCTCCAAATGCCTAATCCCAGGATTTTATATCTTTTGTGAGCTCCCAATTACCTGAACAAGCAGCCAATCTCCCTCCACCAGCTTTGTTCAAAGTGTCCCATAGCCCTGCTCGTTTCTCCCAAGTCGCTAGAACCTCATCATCGCTGTTCGGGTACTCTTGAAGTTGCTTTAGTATTGACTGCCTCTCTGAGTCAGCTGTGGGCACTTCTTCTGCTTCCACTGCGACAATGCAAGGACGAAACCTCCGGAGGCAGCCATAGCATCCTGGTCTATTATATTTTAGAGTATGTTGGTAGAGTGAGGTGAACAGTGAAAAATACACACAATGAAAGGTCAAGGATAATTTCGGCATTACATGCCAAAGATAGCTCCCTATTCGATGGCCTCTTTACCCATTTACAATCAAGAAGAGTACGGAGTACCGGGCGGATTTCCGGCGGATAAGGGTTGAGCAAATGAAGTTTAGTGATTTTCTTGATGAATGGACCTGTTAAAAGGTTTCGACGTTCGAGCATAATCATTAGAATATCATACTCCATGAATGCTTCTAGCTTGATTGATTCCAAGGACGGATAGGACTCCGGGCGGCACGCGATATCCCTTAGA